AGCCGGTGTCAGGTTGTACCGGGGTCCAGCACCGTGTCCCGGCTGTCCTTGGATGCCCCTGTCACCTTTAGGCTCCCTGGAGCTCCCACCACGCTTGGTGACACCGGCCCTGTGGCCCATGGCCACGGGAAGGGTTTGAGGGATGGCCCCGTTAGATGATTACACCAAAAGGCACCGCGGTGCCAAGCGGCAGCCCTGGGACGTTCTCGAGGCGACGGACGGGCTCAAGAGATACCGGTGAGTTCATACGACCGCGGATGTCGTTTAGTTTTAGTTTCTTGAAGACGGAGTAATTAAATACAGTATATACGGATCCCTCAACATGACAGCCGCCCACAGAGCTAAAAACAGGAAATCCATTAACTTCATTATTTAAAAATTAAATAAAAATCTTCCCAACTGATTCCTCTGTCACTTAAAGTTCTGCATGGAAGGAGGGCTAATTTAACGCTGCATTAACTCACTGTTATCGCCCTCCTGTTACCTAAGTAGTTTCTAATGACTACCCTGGAGAGCACTTGGAAGCTTTTAAAAGTTTTTATGCTAAATTTTTTTTTCCGTGTGGTTTATACTTTAAGAACAAAAGTTATCGATAACATTTTTCCAAACTTTCCAACAACACGAAGAATCGTTCCGCTGGCTGCCGAACTGTTAGGTCTCCCTAGCCTGGTGCCTCTTCAGCAAAGCAGAAATTTGAGACATCTCCTTGAAGTGGCACTTGAGCAAATTGCCCCGGCAGAGTTGGACTGTGGGAAGCCAGGTCAGGCCCGGGGCACGTTGGGGTAGGAGTGGGGTCCTCTGGGACCTGGTGGCCCTGGGGACTCTCGGCCCTTGGTTTCCGTGTCTCTGAAGGGGCCGAAGACCCCGTGGGCAGGAGGCTGCGGGACGGAGCTCTTTGTTCGGAGAGCGGAGGCTCTGCGGAGCGGGGAGGTCGTTCATCATTTCTTGCCTTTGTGTCTTTTCCTCAGAACCGGCCTGGACTGACTTCTTCTTGATCTTTCTTTTTAATCCTCTCTCCTTCCTCTGACCAAGCTAGGAGGTCCCTCCAGGCTTGGGGCAGCCCTCTGTGCACTCAGGTGCTGGGGTAGTCTTGGGTGGGTGTTTTTGTGGCTTGAGTCATTCTTGCTGCTCCGCTCTGTTCTCAGGGCCGAGCACTGTCCCCACGGTGGGAAGAGGCCTGTCCTGCCCTGCCCCTTCCCGGCCGGAGCCGCAGCTCCGCGGAGCAGGGATACAGCCGACCCGTTGTCTAGGCCGCGGCTTTCCACAGATTCCAAAGGAAAACGGGCTCGTCGTAAGGAGCTGGTTGCTGCGAGGGTGCTTGGAGGAGCCGGCGGGCGCTGCTGCTGCAGCAGCTCCAGGGCTCCCCGGTGCCACTTCCAGCAGGTTTCTCGTGTTTGTAGGATGGTTGTGTAACTGCACAGAGGTCTGGGATTTCTATTAGGAATTGCCAGGAATCTTTTTATCTGAGGGGCCTTGGGAAACCTTCTAAACTCGATACGAACTTGAACGTGTCTTGCATGTCCTCAGCACCGCCTCTTTTCATGATGCTTGGGAGCCAAGCGAGGTTTTACCCTTGTGTGGATTTGCTGCCTTTCCGCAAAGCGAGAAAGGTTAAGCCACTGGAGGAAGGGCTATCTCCAACTTTGGAGTAGCAAACCATTGGAAATCCTTGGAAAACTCAATGGGAAAGCTTGCATTTATTGGTTTTCCCTGCTGCCCGCCTGGTGCAGCCTCTCCACCGCTCTCCCGGGTGGAGATATCCAAACACGCCAACCCTGTTTTGCTGCATCAAGGAGCACGTAGCGAATATTTGAAACGCGTGTGGGGCAAGTGCAGCCGCCATTGGCAGCCCACTTTTTTTCTTTTTTTTTTTTTTTGAATAAAAAAAATAAAAATAGGAAAAAAAAACCCTCCCCGGGGGCTGGCGGCGCCGCGGGAGCGAACAATGGCGCCCATTGTGCCGCCCGCAGCTGCTGCAACCCGACGAGATGCAACTGCCGCCAGCGGGAGCAGGTGGGTCAGCAGCGTGACCCCGCGTTCCCAGCAGTATCAGTGCGCGCCGGCGGCTCCGTGGCACCGCGCGGCCCCCGGAGCTTCCC